CTATAATAACTATCTATTGCTAATACAATCTTCTCTATAAAAAGACAAGGGTCAAGAATTCTTTATTCCATAACAACATGACTTGAAGAGGTTAAGTTTATAGTGTTCAGGGAAGTATTCACATGAGAGTCTGTTCCAAGAATTGTTACTTTGTGAAACAGACTCCCATCTGTTTGCCTCAGGGTTCTTGATAAGCTCCAGAGGTGGATATGCAATATAATTGGCCCTGTTCTGGCATCTCGTCTACAGTCGCTCTCTCACAGATGCGCAGTCACCTCTCTCTGTCTTTTTTACAAATACTTTCATGGTAATTGCTCTGAGGAGCTGCATTCACTGGTTCCCAGATTTCATGAATTCAAGCGCCCTACGAGGCTGGTATCCCACTCTCACCCTTTCACTGTTGAAACTATTAAATGTAACCGTCTCTTCTACTCCAATAGCTTCATGTCTCACACCTCTTAAATGTGGAACTCCCTTTCCTATTCCAGTTTCCCTGAGAGCTATAATCCCCAACTATTCAAATGTAATGTCAATTGACATCTCCAGTTGCCTTGATCTATCCACTATCCTTCTCCTCATCCTTTCCTCTATCACTCCTAGCTGATCTTGCTTCAAATCTTCTGTAACCCCTTGCATCCTAGTGGCTTCCTGCCTTGCTTGGGGTGAAAATTTTAAAAAAATTAAAAAAAAAAAAACTTGTAAGGGCACTGGAGGACAGTTTGCCATCAACTCTAAGGCCATCACTGACCACATGTTTACATTTAAATGAATAAATATGAATTAGATAATGGCATAAAAGAGAGAGAAAAGAAGAAGAGAGAGAGAAATTCTTTTTTTTTATACTCATTAAGTTATACCCACTAATACATTAAAATCTACTAGTATTTTACAGTTTCATCCTACCCCAACAAAGTCATTCAAACTCTTAGTATTTTTTTGCCTCAGTCCATCAAGTATAAACATGTCTTGTTATTCTTCATACTCTTGGAGCTGTGTGTCTGTTTCTTACAAGTATTTCCTATAAATACCATTCATTTCTTTGTTTTTACTGCAAGAAAAGTAACAATGGTTTTGGCCTTCAATTACCCATCAGTGACCTGCATACATCACAGGCAATTGTCATAAGTGATATTCAAGTTCAGCCAAATAGACCTTATTGTCTGTAACTTAATATTACAAGCCTAAATATCATGTAAGTTAAGTTACATTGCTGTCATTACACTCTTATTTTAAGTTCATGTAATCAAATTTCATTAGAAATAAAAATGAGTACTGAACTGTTACATAATATTAGTCATCCTATATTGAATTCTGGACAATTTCCTCACAGATGAATAAGACAGTTGAAGCAACAGAAATATGGTTCTACAGAAAAATATTGAGAATACTATGGACCAAACATATGAACAATGACAAATTTTAAGAGAATATGGAAACAAAAAGAACACTTATATCAAAAAGAAACTGTTGAAATTTTTAGGGCATATGAGAGGGCTTAGAAAATTTGACACTCACAGGATATACCGAAGACAAGAAGGACAAAGGAAAGCAATGTATAATCTATCTAACGGGTTTGTGTAAATGGATAGCAGAACAGGGATTAGGAGAGATAGCAAAAAGACAAAATTTACTAAGAGCTATAAAGGACAGGAAACTATAAAGAGCAATGGTTGCCAACATCCTGAAGCGACATGTCACATAGAAGAAGTAAAAGTTATACATTTAAACACTATACTTAAAATTCTGAAATTTCAAAACTAGATTAAAATGTGTTCAGTTTAACTATCCCTAGAGTAAGTTCTTTAGTTTATATAGAATTATTAACCTAGAGTTTTTAAGCAGTTAATGGATATTTTTTATTAAAACTTCAAAATTATTTATTATTACTATAAACAATATATTTAGTAGGTATATGTGCTTGAGTAGATATTAATATCTACCAGCCTAGAAATAAAATGTCTTATTAAAGAAAGATGAATAAGAGACTTAAAGCAACAGCAATATGGTTCTACAGAAAGATACTGAGGATACCATGGGCTAAACATGTGAGCAACAATGAGGTTTTGGAAAAAATGGAAACAAACAGGAAACTTATATTTAACATCAGGAAGAGACAGCTAAAATTTCTGGGATACATGATAAGGAAGGAGGGACAGAGGAAAGCAACACGTAACATACTTAATGAGCTTGAGCAAATGAATGGTAGAACAAATTTTGGGGAAAATAACAAAAAGACAGAGCTTATTAAGAGCTACAAGGCACCGGAAGATGTGGAGGGCCATGATCGCCTTGTCCTGAAGGAACATGGCACATAAAAGAAAATAGGAATCAAACCTTTATCACATTTTTAATCTGGATAACTACTTTCAACCCAAGTATGCTTTACCACAATAGGGTAAGTAATGAGATAAATAAATAGGATGACTGACCCTAGTTTTGCTGGAGTGGCTTCCTGTGACTCAATAGTAAAGCACACTTGACTTGAAAGTGGTTCCCAAGACTAAAAAGATTTAAAAGGGAATACCAGTTTGAGGTTTGCTGGGAGGCAAATTTTCTTTAATATGATTTTTGATCTCTAGGCCAGTAGACATTAATTTAATCAAAAGAAAAATAGAGATGTCTACACACACATGTAGCCACTAAATATAATGTTTATGGTAATTAATAAATTATTACCCTGTGTGAATCCAATTGAATAAGTATCAAGGCAATTATGCCTCCTCGACTAAATCTATTCATTATTGTATTGTACTCGGCTTGTTTGCAAAGTTCACAGAAGTTCTCATAAATATTAAATATCTTGTGTTTCTCATAAATCTTTCAGCTTGATTATGGAAACTAATAAATAAACAATGAGAAAATGTCTTTTTTCCCAAGACATAATTAAGAGAAAAACATAAAACAAAAACTGTGTTGTCCCTCTCAGTGATTGAACATCAAGTGACTGATTAAAAATGACAAGAAATCAATGCTTGTACAACTCAGATATGTTTCAAGACTGGCACAAAATGATAGAGAAATCTTTTATTTCCATTTTGAAGTAAGATTACTCTTATTTTACTTCAGGTCAATATATTTATACAAGCCAGGTATTGATGAGACAGAGTTGAAAAGCTATTAAATGATGTGTGTTAGGTTCAGTTTCTTCAGGTCAGAATGAAAGACAAAAATGCATTGGTATTTTTGAGGATAACAGTAGCAATAGATTAAATTACCTAATCCCAAAGCATATTCCTTACACAGAGTTTTGGCTTTCATTCCAACCTGAAAAAGCTGAACCCAACACATATCAAGTCTTTGATTTTAGGTAAAAAAAAAAGAAGAAATTTACAGTCAAGTTAGCAAGATGTTCTATGCAATATACATCCTCTTATATAGAAATAATGAACAATTTTCCCACATGTGAAAAGAAAACAGGAGGCAGCAGAAATGTTGTTTTACAGAAGCATACTGAGAATCCCATGGATGTAGCAAGTAAGCAATGAAGAAATCTCAAAGAAAATGGCAATAAAAAGAACTCTTGTACTCAGAATCAGAAAGAGAGATGAAATTTCTTGAACACAGGATGAGGATGGAGGGCTTGGAAAACTTAATCCTCACAGTGCATATTGAAGACAATAAAGATAGAAGGCAGTGAGCTGATGAACTTGTGTGAATGGATAGCAGAACAGGTGGTGGGTGTCATTAGAAAGGGTGAAAAACCTAGTAAGGGTCACAAGAGATAAGAAGTTTTGGAGTGCCATGATCACCTATGTCCTGAAGGAATGGAGGGAATAAAAGAAGATTAGCAATGTCTGTCTTTTTTTTTTTTACTTTTTTTATATCCTGTGAGTGTTAAATTCTCCAAGCCTTTTTTCCACATTATGTGTCCCAGAAATTTCAACTGTCTCCTTCTGATTCTATGTATAAGTGTTTTTTTCATTTCCATTATCCTTAAAACTTCCTGTCACCTATCAACAGTATTCTCAGTATCTTTCTGCAGAACAACAAGAATTGTATGCATTTTTATTAAAAGTATCTAAAGATAAGTTTAGATCTGTCTGTATAAGCCAGTGTTAACAATTTGATCATAAAATAGCTAACTTTAACAACTACCATAAACACTCATGTATAAACTGACTTCATTTATAGTGGGATGCCTGGATTTTGTCACATGAATTTTAACTAAAAATGCACAAGTCTTAAACACTTCAAAAGAAATTACCCGCATATAGTGTGACCACCCAATCTTTGCATTAAAAATTGATCATAAAATCTCATGCTATATTCAAGTATATACAGTAAATAAAACAATTATTTTGATTTACTGAAAATTATTATTTTATCATATTACAACCAGACAAAAAATATAGCTACTTTGAGTAACGGCTTCTAGCTTAATGCAGTCTATAAAACTAATAACATTATATTAATAGTCTTGCAGGAGAATAATTACCCATCGATCAATATCTTATTAAATTGTAGGCCAATGCTAAGTTTTAGACTCTACCATTTTTTTGTTTGCTTCAAAATGAGAGGGTAATTTAATGAAAGTTTCTTAGCACAACCCATTACCCAAAATTTGATTAATATCAAAATTTTTTCCTGGAAGGGATTCTTGGTTGAGCCACAAAGCTTTCAGGATTATTTTCATGCTGATTTATTGTAATTTTCAATATAAGTTTTTATATTATGTCTAATATCCTTCATTTTGTAGCTAATCAATATTTCAGTAATTTTTTATTAGGGTGATTTGATGTCATTTCTATAGACATTCAGATTCAGAAGGATTAGATTACAATAGTTATATTTCCCAATAGAATTTCTCAAAGATAAAATTTTTTTTTAAATTGTTACAATGTTGAATTTTAATTAAAATAACAATGGGAATTTATTTGACTTGTTCTATATTCTCATCTTTTGTTTTTAATTTTGTGATTCTCTTTCATGTGGGTTTTATTGTTTATTGTTTAATAAGACTTGAAATGAGGTGAGTGAAATATCACTTATGCATGAATGAGTCAAATAGTTGAATAAGAAAGAAATAAAAGGAAAAAAGAAAGTGAATAAATAAATAAATAAAGAACGAGAAAAAGGAAAGAGAAAAAGAAAGAAAGAAAGAAAGAAAGAGAAAAAGAAAGAATGAGAAAAAGAAAAAATAGAAAATAAAAAGAAAGAAAGAAAGAAAAAAGAGAAAAAGAAAGAATGAGAAAAAGAAAAAATAGAAAATAAAAAAGAAAGAAAGAAAAAAGAATGAGAAAAAGAAAAAATAGAAAATAAAAAAGAAAGGATGAAAGAAAGAAAGAATAGAAGAAAGAAAGAAAGAAAGAAAGAAAGAAAGAAAGAAAGAAAGAGAAAAAGGAAGAAAGTAAAAGAAAAAGAAAGAAGAAAGGGAAGAAAAAAAGAAAGAATGAGAAAAAAGAAAGAGGAAAAGAAAGAAAGAAAGAAAGAAAGGAAGGAAAGAAGGAAAAGAAAAAGGAAAACATTAACCTAGTTTTCCAATAATAAGCTAAACCAGCTTTGCATATATATTTGTTATATTTTTCTTGTTCATTTTATTTGCTCGACAGAAGCTGTGAAAGGATTAAAAAAAAAGCAGTAAAAACAAAAAAAGCAAAAAATCAAATTTCCTCTTAAAATGCATTAAGAAAAATCTTTAACAACAATAGTGGATCCTGCAGAGTGCAAAGTGATGATTGATTGTAATTCAAAGCAGACATTTTATATTTTTGTGCATTTTTGGATATAAAGAATATAAAATGCTTCAATGAAAGAAGAATTGAGTGATAACAAGAAATTAAGGTTTTATATACATCAGATAAACTCATTATTCTTATCTCAGCTTTTATCAAAACATTTCTTTTGAGGTGCTGTCTAATTATGCTTATCTGATATAATCTATTTAATATATGAACTGAACAAACTCTCATCTACGTTTGAATTATATTGAAAAACTACTCACTTCTCCTGACTAAAGTCTTCTCCTTCTCTTTCACTCTTTGTAACCCACTGCAAACTAGTGCTATTATTGCCTTGCTTGGTGTGGAATTATTAAAAAAAAAAAAAATTTTCAAGTAATATAAAAGAAATTTTTATCACAGCATAATATATTTTATATATTTTCTAAAAACATTTCACCCCAAGAAAGGCAATAAGGCTACTAGGTGTTACTGAATGTTAGAGAATATGAAAAAAACTACTATTTAGGAGATAGGACAATAAAAGAACAAGAATTAGGAAAAGAGAAGATAATGATTGACATTCCATTTAAATTTTTGAAGATCAAAGTTGACTGGAAAACAAGAAGCTGGAAGAGAGTTCCATAGAAGAAACTGTTATCATAGGACACATGGTTACATTTAACCATTTCAATTGTAAACTGATGAGACCTTGCCTGCAATCTAGTACTGTGATTAAATTCATAAAATCTAGATACCATAGCAGAAAGTTCATCAGAACAATTACCATGAAAGTATTTATGAAAAAGGCACAGGGAAGCTACATTATGGTGGTGGATAAGTAACTAAGGCCGAAATGCCAGGTCAGGGCCAATAACATTGCAAATTCTCCTTTAGATTTTATCAAGAATCTTAAAATATATAGCAGGAAACACCAGACCAGATGTGACAGCAATATTCAAAGCAAGAATCTATGGTAGACTTATAAATATGTAAGATAGATTCTGTAGATAAAAATTGTCTCACAACATTGTGAAAAATAAAGTTTAGTATTAGTAGTTTGTTACTGTTTTGTGCAGTCGTGAAAATAGTTTCATAAACCTGTGCTTTTAATGAAATCATACATAGCATGGTAGTCATATCCATGAACACCATATTTATATCACCTCCCTCCTAATTCTAATACATGAATTCCCATGCTTTTCCACCTTGTTAGCAGTGCCAGCTTTTCTAGCTGACTCTTACTTAAAATATATTTCCATTTTTATGTATTTTGTTGCAAATGCCAGTATGTTGTGGTTTACACCTTAATTACATGTATCGAGACAATTTAAATATGGACTGATCTGAAACTGGAACAACAATGCAAGTACACTCTATAAATAATCCCAGTGATTTATGGGAAAATCAAAGCCTCAAGAAACAAACCTTGTTACTGAAACTCGTTCCTTCCACTTGGCTGACTCTCTTTTTTGTCCATCATTATTAGCAAATTTTATGCGTTCATGGCTTTATGATTTTAAAGTATTATTTTGGTATTTGAGACACTATTACCATTACAGAAGTATCACTTCTGTGTTTGTTGAATATATATGGCTTCTGATGTTTTTACATTTGTTTTTCTTGCCTATCATATGACTATGTTTCAATATTGGAAATATTCTTTTGTGGGTAATATTCAGATAATTTTTTTTGTTATTTTTTTTTAAACTGTTGTTCACCTAATCAGTCAGTTATGTGCCATGTGTGATCATGTATCTTTCAATACATGACTGATGAGGCAGATTTTTTTTCCGCAGTATGTGGCCATTTCTTTCTGCTGTAGACCAGTTACCATCCAAGACTATAGAACCTGGTCTGTCCTGCTATTTAACCATAACTGGAGGGAGAAGAAGAGGATTCATACCTTTCCCAAGGGTATTAGCACATAAGTGAATGTAATGAATTCAACTGGAATTTGAACTTAGCTCTCCGATTCCTCAATCCAAGCTGCTATTTATTACTCCACTTTGCCTCATCTTCATCTAATAAAAGATCCAAAAATCACTAGATAGGTAGATAGTTACTAAATGAGGTTGATGAAAGGACATACAGTAGCGGGGAGCAGTTGTATATTATGAGGATATGTGTGGTAATAAAATAAGCACATCACATCTCCCCTCTTGCTTGTAACCATCCACTATAATAAAACTGAATTAGTCAAATAAAGCTTCATAAGCGTCTACTTAGAGTTGTTGCTATATTACAATATGTAAAATAGCTGGTGGCTGAGTCTATACTTGAAGAGGTTAAGATTGTAGTGATCAGGGAAGCATCCTCTTTGAAATCTTATCTACAACATGATGATTCTAGGGAAGCTGTCTAAGTGAAACTTCTTCTTCCCCCAATGGACTACAAAAGGAATGAGAGTGAGTCAACTCACTGTACATATGGCAGGCCCTAACCGTGGAAGTTCAGATAAGTGGAACTAATGAATATAGTTTGTCTGAACATCTGATATGAAAATAGAAATAGTGTAGTGAGATGCTAGCATTGTTTTGTCCTTGGGAAAGATTTTGTAAGGTGGAAAACGGTTTGTTATGATGTAAGTACTATAATTATAATTACTAGTTTTAACCAATGAAAATTTCATGGTTTTCCTATTTTAAATTTCTGATGAATCTTAATTCTTCAGTTAATGATTGAATAAGTTCAGGGCAAGTTCTACGACAATAACATATATGTAGAAATTCCCCTATCACATTATTAAATATTTGAGCTTAACAACTTTAACAAAATATTGCAATAACAATCATAAATATGAATGCTTGTGATTATTTCATGAAGGGGGTACAAATGAAAAGACTTGAAACAGACTTTTTCCATTTCACTGAAACAACCATTAAATGCTTCTATCTTCATTTCTTTTCTTCATTTTCTCACAGAAACCAAATAGTGTCTTTGATATTCTTTTTTTATTCTCATGTGATCAAAATGGAATAGTTTATTTTTTATGAGGTATTAGTAGGAGATGTTTAACAGTTCTTTCTTTCTTTTTTTGTCTGAAACAAAGTAGTATCTTTGATATGACTTTTGTCTTTTCATGTGATCAAAACCATTATTTATGAGGTATTAGCAGGTCATGTTGACCATGCAAACAAAGACAGAGACAAATACAATTATTATATGATAATTTTTTAATTGTTTTTTTTATAAAAAATGAAATACATTCAAATTAGTCATGTAAAATTATTTAAGAACTTTAAAATAGTTGAAACCAATTTCACATTTTTAAATTTGTAATAAATGTATTATCAATAAAAAGCAATACTTTTCCTTATGCTATCTAAATTATATATCCTGTGATAAAATATTTACATATAAAATTCACATATGCTTAAATCAAATTTTTTTCTGAAGTGAAGTATGCAAAAGTAATTTTATTTTTTATCAGTCAGTTAAAGTATGATAATCTATTTCAACTGAATTCATATATTAAAGAAAATATTTAAACTTCTTTTAGGCTATTTTGTTAGTCCTGGTTAAATATAAATCAAGGTTATTTTGCCAGTATATATATATATATATATATATATATATATATATATATATATATATATATATATATATATATATATAAAAATCCATGGGTAAGTAATCCAAGTACATCCTAATAATATAAAATATTAAAACTGATCCACAAAAGAGAGTTCAATATATTTATTATAGAGCATACAAATTAATTACATAAAAATGAAACTCTATTACCCCATTCAGATGACCAGTTCACCCTGGGATGTTCTCCATGGGCTTTATCAATGCAAAAACGTTTGTTAAAAAAATGAATTTTAATGGGTTTTTTTTTAAAATAAGAATTTAAGAAGGAAGGAAAGAAAGAAAAAAGGAAGAAAGAAGAGGAACAAACAACAAATAAGGGAAATGGAATTAAAAGCTAGAGAGGGAGACAAAAAAAACTAATGTAGTTAGAAAAGGATGGCCAGGAAGTCATGATAGACAAGTCCAGACAGAAATTAAAAATGGTTAAAAATGAACAATGACCTATATTTAACATATTAACCCTTGTTCAAATGGGAAAAACTTACATAGGAAATTACAAATATAAAGGTTAAGAAAAAGAAGAGTTTTAGAGGTTATAGAAAAAGGAAAATTATAATCTAAAAATAATACTATTATATAATTTTAATATTGTATAAAGAAAATTTTTATTAAAAATTTTAACACTAAAACTCATGTTAAATTATTATAGAGTTATATCAAATTATTATTAATAAAAATTGATTATTAATAAAATTTACTTACTTATTGAATGTTAAATAATAATTTAACTCATTACTTATTTATTTAGTCTAATGTAATTATATATTCTTATACTTCCTTATTGAGTAAATTTATTAAATTAATCCAATTCAATATTATATATTTAATTATATAGTAAAAATTTTGATTAGTAAATTCTTAATTTATATTAATAATAATTTATATCAACTATTATAATAAATATTAATATATTATATATTTATATTATATTAATAATAATTAAATATTATATATATATATATATATATATATATATATATATATATTATAAATTAACTGATTTAAAAATATGTTTTTTTCGCTACACAGTTCTAACCATGAATCAAAAATGGAAGCTAAAAGTTTCGAATTTAATTTTGTAATTAAATTAAAGACATTAATTCCATTTCATCCTCAAGCAAATTTTGGAGTAACTTATTTTTAAATTTACTGGGTTTTAAAGGCACGGCAAAAAATCATAATTCACTGTTTTCAAGGATACAGAGAAATCC